TATATATATATATATATATATATATATATATATATATATATATATATATATATATAAAGTAAAAGTGCCAGTACGTGACATGTACTTAACTTGGATAGCTGCTTCCTTACCTGTGTAAACTGATATTTTCATTTGCAGCTGCTTTTTTCGCATAAATAGCATCTTCAGATGCTTATGTTTATAACATATGGTATATATAACCTATTCCATGCAACTTTGTACAATATATTTTATTTTCTCATTGCATATGATCTATCTAACGCATGCGCATAACGTTCATAATACATTCAGAAAGAGAGAGAAATATATATTTCCGCACCGTGGTTCTAGGGCCGGACTTCTCTCTCCTTTAGCAATATAGTAGTATTACATATATGGTTATACCGCACCCTTTATCCTTATATTTCTATACTACGTAATGACTAAAAAGTTCTAGGTGGCGCTACTAGCTAGTTGTCCTTAAGGTGCCAATATATGGGAGCGTTCCAGCGTCGAGCGTTAAAGCGTTAGCCAATCAACGTATCAGGTCCCAGAAGTATACTTGTAGTTCTTGCGGAAAGTGGTACGTTGATTGGTTACCGCTTTAATGCTCGACGCTCGATGCTCCCATATCTAAAGATACCTTTAGAGATCCTGTAATAAAAGGTTTGTTCGCATCGTATACCCCAATGTGCTCCGACTCGCTTTAACGCACTTTGATTGGTCCTCATGGTGACGTGACCAATCAGAGTGCATTCAGCTAATGATCCTAACCGGAAGCGTATCCCAAACATGGCGTAGCCAATCAAAACGTTGACATTGGTGGTCTGTGGTAGAACTATATAAAAAATAGATACAGAAATGGAAAAAATTTCCTGCTATAAATCACGTGCAACGATTTGTCGTGCAACGATTCGTCAAGTTGTCATACGTGATTGTATAGACAGGAAACTTCTTTCTATTTCTTTGCTATTATTTTAACGTAATCCCACTACTGTTCTTTTCAACTGCAGGATATTATGGATTCTTCGGAATCAATTCCGATCGGAAACATTCAGTTATTTCCTAGATTTCTATTGTCTTTTCTAGGGGAAACGGAATTATTCCGATCGGAATTGATTTTTGAAGAAGTCCATAATAGGTACCCTGAACTGGTGCAATAAGTTAGAGTGAGAAAACATATACTTGTCTCACTTTAACTTATTGCACCAGTTCAGGATACCTATTATGGACTTCTTCGGAATCAATTCCGATCGGAATAATTCCGTTTCCTCTAGAAATCAAAAATACAATTGACAATAGAAATCCTCTAGACAATGGAAATCTAGGAAATAACTGAATGTTTCCGATCGGAATTCATTCCGAAGAAATCCATAATAGATAACCAGCAGTGCAGTTGAAAAGAACAGACTGTATATTAAAGATCCTTTGATTTTGAAATAATACAATTCGACAAGTTGGAAATATATTAATTTTCAAGTAATACATTATAGTAACATTTTAGTACATCAGAGATACTTTTTTATTTTTCAGTCATATGAAATAATGTATAGAAATTAATGCAATTTTTATTATAACTATACTCATTGTAATAGCAACAAATTGATTTATTAAGATTTAATATTTGTTCTAAATCTGAAACTGACAGCATGCAAGTATTGTTAATATATACATTCAACATTAATCAATACGACAAACGGAATCTGAGGATTTGAGAATAATTTAACCTAACCTTTAATTTAATTTAACCTATAGCAGTTTGTTTTCAACAATGAATAGTTAAAAAATCTAATGTACTTTACTATCTTATATAATAGGAATAAAATAATTATAATAAATATATAAAGTTTATGTTAAACTTTACACAATGTATAAATCGCAATTTGTTGGCCTGGATGACAAGCCATGTGAAACAAAATGCTTGTTGTGTGATTGCACCTTTGTTCTTCCAACAAATGAAACTGATTTTTTGAGACATCTGTATATGATGCATCGCCTTGTTATAGGAGATGTTTGGAAAATAGCTAGTTTAAAAAGGTAATTATTAATCTATCTATAATAATTATTAATTTATCTTATTAATCTTACCTAAATATTATTCTTATAGTTTCATTCAGATATTTTAACATATATTGGATATAACAATTCTGTTTTTTTTTCTATTTTTAGTTATATACACTACTGGAGTATAAAATTTAAGGAAGCACCGTTAACAACTTATTGTACCACACTGTTAATGGATTGTACACCAGATGGCAAACCAAGCAAGAATGAGCATTACTTCTTGCTTTCTGATTGCCTGTTAGAAGACAAAACTTTGAGATGTGAAATACAACAGGCTAAACTGGTATGTACATGTACATGTAGTTGAAAAAATGTAGGATATAAGATATGTAATATTATTTTAAGGAATTGGCTTTAATGCAACAAGAAGTTGAACGTGAGGATACAAGTTTCAAGCGTGGTTGCATGTTTTGTCGTATGGAATTTTGTGGATTACGCGCTGTTTACATAAAACATCTTTATCAGAAGCATAATCTTTATTTTGGCAAACCAGAAAATTTAGTATTTATTGATGAGCTTCTGGATAAAATACAGAATAGTATTGAAAGGTATTCATAAAAGGTTCACATGTAATCTACATGTTACTCAAGCAAGTGTATTTATAAGGAAATGTTTATAAAATGTATTTTACAATTACCTGCCAATTTTTTAGCTTAATATGTATTTACTGTGAAAAGACATATACAGATCGTACAGTATTGAAAGAACATATGCGAAAAAAATTTCACAAGCGTATAAATCCTAATAATAAACCATACGATAAATTTTATATAATCAATTACTTGGAACCAGAGAGAACATGGAAACAAAAACGGGTAATTGTAATATAACTTACATTCTATGATAAAGTTTTAATATTCTGGAAGTGTTTTCTTCATTTTTATACAGGATAAGCAGCAATCGGAAAATAGTCAAAATATGGAAGGTGTAAATAGTGAAAATGAGGATGAAGAAGGTTCATGGTCCGATTGGAATGATGAATCTGTTGGCATAAAATGTTTATTTTGTGATAATAGCAATAAAGAATTATCATGTATTTTGGAGCACATGAAGAGAGAGCATAGCTTCGATTTTAAAGAGGCAGTCAAAAACTTGACTTTTTATGAAAAAGTGAGCATTATCGTTAAATGTCGGTTATACACTGCTTGACGATATATTAATACTTCTATAATGCATTTTTATTATTGCAGGTAAAAGTAGTTAATTATATAAAAAAACAAATTCAACTACAACGATGTATTTTTTGCGAAACAAACACAGACGATGTCTTTGAACATATGAAAAGTAAACAACACTACAAAATCCCTGAACAAAAAGTCTGGGATCAACCTCAGTTAGTACATATAATTGGAATAAGATTTACAGGATTTGTATCTAATAAGATTTTATATCCAGTATATATGTTTCGTTTTTTGTTCTAGATATTATTTTCCTATGTCTGAAACTGATTCATTTTTATACCATCTCGACGCAATCAGTGACAGTGACGAAGAGAGCGATATTGAGAATCTCAATGAAATAACGTAAGTAGTATTGAAGGATATGAGTATTCTAACCTAATGATTATAAGTTATAAAACAATGTCCTATGTCTGAAAATGATTCATTTTTATACAATCTCGACGCAATCAGTGACAGTGACAAAGAGATGGATATTGAGAATCTCAATGAAAAAACGTAAGTAGTATTGAAGGATGAGTATTCTAACCTAACGATTATAAGTTATAAAACAAATAATATTTACAAAATTTTAGATCCAATCTGTTTCTCGCCTGAACAATTCTAATTACAATTCTATCAGTTAATTATAATTTTATGCTAAATTAACTGCAAGTGTCAAAATCTTGTTATATATTCACTTTGTTGACATTTATTAAATTTCAACAAATTTCAATAAATCATATTCATGTTAATTTCATCTATGATGCCCTATTTCCTGATTGTATCAAGTGAAACAAAAGTAACACGATATATTTTATTTAAAGAATCTATACATATGTTATATGAGGTATACTTTGAATAAAATATATTTTTAAGATTGAAATATGTATGAATATATAATAATCACTGAAAAGGATAAAGTACACATAGGTATCAAAAATGGGAAATGTTATAAACAGAAGCTAACTACATTATTTAACAATACTGCATCTAGAAATCTTGTTATAATATATAGTTTATATTACTTTTTTACTCTAGTGAAAAACTTTTTACCACGAACTTTAGAAACACCTTTGTTGGTTATTGATGCTTCATTTGCTGATAAACATTCCTCATGTAGACCTTTAAACAGTAATTCAGCATCATTTGTATTCCCAAGTATTTCTTTTAGTTCCTCCTGATCATAAAATACGAAATTAAAGATTATTTATCTTGAATAACTTTTTTGCTCATGTTTCATAACAATATAATGAAAGACAAGCTATAAAAAATATTTAAATATTTAATTATTAATATATATATATTTCTACCTTTGAAAGTTTGATAAGGTGATCTAATGAATGGCCTTTATTCAGTAAAATACGTAAATTTTTCGAATGTACACCAGGCAATTTGGCTACAATATCTTGGATGCGAGGGTTATATTTTTCTGCCATCAACTTGTCTTCCGTATTTTCATCTGCTCCGATTTTAGCGGCTATACTTGAATCGGGCTGATTTCGTTGTTGCTATAAGTATACAAAAATAAATATAATTACCTATTGTTAACAGTATCAGTATAATAAAAATTTATGTTACCTTCAATTCTTCGAATAATTGCGCTGTCGCGTGTGGACTGGGAGACCATACGAGTTTTAATTTAGGAAAATGAAGTGTCAATAATTGTAGCTTTGCTGTTATCTCTGTATTTTTAAGGTCTCTACTGACATAATAGTTTCCCTACAAGAATGTATAGTTGATAAAATTGTTGAAAATTACACGACATAAACGAACTAATTGCTTTGTTGTAAATGTCATTCTTACGAGATTAATTACCTGAAAACAGAATGGTTTATTCTGATCAAATTCTATAAGAAGCATGGGTTTGGCGTAATGTCTTGTCATAGCGACTGCTTGATTATACAATCTTCCGGAAAGTAAAGAACCAATAAGATCAGATATGCTTTTTCTCTCAACGCATATTTCAGGTGTAAGGATATAATCACCCACCTGTAATAGTTACAACAATTAGCATCAGAAGTGAGTAATTAGAAGTAACAATTACATACTTATATTAGTAAATTTCATACTTACCACTAACGTCACTGGTTCAATTTTGATACCGCGTGTGTATAGAATGGCAGGTAACTCACTTCTGAATTCTCTCATATCGACAATAACTTTTTGGATCACTATGGCTTCAGGTTGCATTCCACCCTTACGTGTGTTTTCTTCACTTGTACTGTCCGACTGAATCGCGAGAGTCAGACAATCCTCTGATTTCCCATCTTGATCTTCAGGTACAACCATGGTCTAAGAAAGCAGTATAATTTAACTTTTTAATATCATATTCGGTATAAATACATCGAAGCAATTCGAGTACTCACTGTCTTTGTGTTAATTAAAGAGTTAAACGCTTCCTTTTCTCGTCGCAAAGAAGTAAGATATTCTTGCTCCTCGACAGATCCTCCGTAAATTAAAAAGTATACTTTTAAATCTAATGACGGATTATTATTCTGATATACCTCCAACTGTCTAACAGTACCAATATCAGCTATATACAAAATTATATTTTTTGGCATATACTCTGTTAATGTTCGCTGCAGTGTCATCGGGTCTCCACCTTTTTTTATGGCTCGTATAATAATGATAGGCATGGTTGTTGCACAATTAGTTAAGTCTAAGTCTGCAATCTTAAAAAAAAAAAACATTTAGAAATAGATGTTTTTTTCATAAGTTTACGAATATTTTTCGTAATAAAGTGTTCAATATACCTGCGAACATTCTTCGAATAGAGTCTGATGTTTTGCATCCTCTGTAGAAGTACTCGGCTGATCTTCTTCTACACACTTTTGCGATAATGTTAGCACGTAAGTATCTTGATGTTCCTGCATATCTTTGTCCGTATTACTTTCAGTTGTCGGTTGATCCTTCATATTCTTTTTATCATTGCCATTTGTCTTTTGCTCTTTAGTGTGCGGCAGTTTTTTCAGTGCTTCATAAAGCAAATATTCGTTTGCATCCATAGTTAAACAATTTTTCAATTGATAACATATATTATTATCGTGTACTAAGATAAGAATTATCTCATTTTCATCGTTCTCCTTATTTTTACATTTTTGTTTCTTAATCTCGAGCACAGCTTCTTTCAAGGCTTCCCATTTTGGATTCGTCTCTGGTTTCAATTCGTTTTTCTCTGTATAAACTCTGCTCTTAGCATATTTAAACAAATTCTCAGCTTCATCTAACATTATCCAACCACTGGCCTTTACAGCATAATCCATCGTGCGTAAACGATTTAACATAAGATAGAACGAAACAGAATCTTCGTATGTCAGAGATATAATGAGAGATCGTAATGTTTTTAAATCGGAAAACAATTGTTTTGTTGTGGAACTAAGTTGATGCCAAATTGGATCTAACTGTAAATGTAATTGTTTGTGGAATTTCTTTGCTATTGCATTCTCCACAGTTAGTTCGTCCAAGTCTAAATATTTATTGAGTCTTTTCAATTCCTTCACTATGTAATTCATAATATCTAGTAAAGTCGTTTGAATGTGTTGCATCTTTGGTGTAAACCTGACGTGCAACTCTATAACTTCGGGCTTATGTTTAGATAAACAGTTATTTATAATAGTGTGGAAGCGCGGCCATAAATACAATTTTTTTACAAAAAGAGCTTTCATGACTCTTTCTACTCGAGAATATCCAACTGTAAAGGCAAGCGACGAATTCGTAAACGCTTTGATAAATCCGATCTTGTTGTTTTGTCTATACAAACGCAATGCAAACGCTTCTTGATATGCGTTCAAAATATTGTGAGCCCTGTACACGAGTATTCCAGTGATCAAGTGTAATGGAACTCTATTCTTCAACAGATCTACTACCAAGATACGGCCTGATATAAATAGTACTCCACCCTCCAAGTACATGATTTCCCTGTTAATATTTGATAACAAATCTTATTAACTATATATATATATATATGTACTTGTGAAAAATTAAAGATAAAGCATTTCTTAATATACCTTTCATTAGAAGAACATTCAGCATTCACTATACGTGGTAACATATTTGTTCCATAATTTTTTAGTAACTCTATGAGATAACGCTCATCGTAATCAGTGGTTCCCAGAACTATAACCAAATTGCCTGGATCTGAGTAAGCTTTCAGTATATTTGCAAAAACAGTTTCTATTCCAAGACCCCTATATTTTTCATTGTATGATCAGTATATAATTATTCGCGTAATATATGTTAGTAAAAACAAAATAAGACTTACTTAGCGATAATAACTAATCCATCCTCTTGAAGGATTTCAAGAAAGATTTGATTCTCATACTCCAACATGTTTACTGTTAACTTCCAACTGACTTTTTACTTAGATTTCCTAATCACTCTAATGTTTACAATAATAGTTGAAGCAAGAATTCCATAAAGTACCATATTAGGTTAGCAAAAAATGAAATGTGCACTCTCTGGAACAAAATAAGACGTTAATCTTAGAGCAAGATATTTATACTAGAAAGACATAAAAAAATAAGTATATGAAAAATAAAAGATAGAAGTAGCAGATACTTACTTACCTTGTTATCTTGATCCTTGTAAGTATTTCTCGATGCTTGGTCATAAGGTATATCGTCTTCAACCATTACATCAAATACTAATAGAGTATATTTGCTAATTTCATGAGATGGATGGCCATAAACTCCAATACTCACAGGCCGCTTAAAGCTAAAACATATGTAATATATTATAGATTCTTCAAGTAAATAAATTTAGAAAAATATAATACGTATATGTGTAATACCTCTTAGGTATAAATATGATATCTTCCCCACAAGTTGTTGATTGTAAACAATAGTGGTCTGGTTCATATGTCGGCTTAGTTGTAGTTTGTGATGCATATAAATCTGCATCACCATTTCTAAAGGAAAATGTACAATGTATAGATATCATATTGTATGCACAAAAATGATTAAAAAAAGAAGCAAATATTTTATCAATAATTTCTATAATTGAAAACGATATATTTTGATAATATATCATGTGATAATCTAATATCTAACAATTAGATATGTAAATGCAATATTTTCCATGTAACATTAACTGTACAACTTACTAGTAAAGTATTCATGTTTTTTCTGGATTATCATGAATATAACCCAAGATATAAATTTCCCAATTTATCTATAGGATATAGATGCAAAACAATAACATAAAGAATATCAATAACTACAACACGATCAAAGTTACTCACAACGAAGTTAGTCGTATTTTAATGTAACCTTCATATGTCAAACTGTAATATTTATAGGAGCCACCAGGAACGTCGTCGCTGACATAATGTAGTAATTCCTCTTCCACTGCTAATCCACAGGATATCTGCAAATTTCATAAAGCAACCTGATACATAATGTTAAACTTTGAAAAATTAGTTTCAAAGGGATTTTCTGGGAAGAGTACTTTAAGAGTGTAATGTTAGAAATGCAACCTCGTCGTACCAGTGTTGCAATGAAAAATATTGTCTTCATAGTATTGTACATGACAACATAATCGGAGAAAAGTAATGTCGACAAGTGCTGAGCCTTTCACAGTGTGCGTGTACTTCACTGAACAATCAAACAGTTACACAATCTTTCGCAAGTACAACCCCGGCCTAATTGTATTTATATACTACGCGTTACGTAAGACGTATAAAATTGTAATTCGCACTAAAATTACTGACGATGCTTCTGAAATTGATAGCGTCAGCTGACTGCAAAAATGGCGCCAAGCATTAGCTGAGATTACTGCCGGGTTTATAGTTCTTCGCTTGTGTGCTCGAATATGTAACGACAAATTTTATTAATTCACTTGATAAACTTGATGAAAACTTTATGACTGATCAATAGTATGATTACCAATCTGAATAAAATCAACCAGTGTAAAAGCTGTGGACATAATGACAACATAACCAAGTTTGAACGTAATTCTACTTGCACAAAAGTTTCATATTACGGACAGTAGATGTCACCTGTTTCATCTCATAAGCAGGGCGCTGTACGTAAACTTGTTCTTGAATTGCACCTTCTGTATTTCCTTACAACCTCTCCCTTTCTCTCTTTCTACGGCCAAATCTGGTACCGACACAACGCAAATACGCGCGTAGGTAAATATATATTTTCCTTTAAAATAATTTCCACAAAATATTTCTTATTAGAGGAATATACAAAATACTATTTTCACGTATAAATAACGATTTCTTAACGGTTAATGTATCGAGCTTCTTTGTAAATCTGTTATAAAGGATACTTCATATAAAAATTCTAACCCTTATCACTTCAAACGAGGTTAATGGAATCACTTAGGGTCTATGATCCGTTAGGTTAAGTTCATAGTCGTAGCGAAAGTATATTTCTCTTTCTTTTTCTCTCTCTCTCTCTCTCTCTCTCTCTCTCTCTCTCTCTCTGCGTGCGTTATAAATACTGAGAACACAAAAAGTAAAACAGGCAATTCGCGCAATCCGGCTGTCATTATCAACAGCAGATGATCGAATATCAGTAATGAGATATAAATGATCAGCGTGCCTTGCATGAGAAAGAAAGAATTTCGTAGAAATTGCACACAGCGTGCCGTGAAAACACTCGGAATGACGCAAAAACAGATGACGAAACGCACAAGTGTATCGTCCGACAATACCCACGCCAGAGGTAGTCTTTACTCGCAAGACCCTCGTACAATTCCTCTCCTCCTCCCTTTATTTATGCTCTTATGCAAATGCGAGTGCGCGCGCGATGCGCTTTATGCATGGCCTACGACAATGTGCAATCCGCATTGCGCGGCTCCCGTTTACAGACCCCATGACGTTGTAACGCGTAACCGCGATCAACTACGATATCCGGCGGAACGGCTATTAGTAAACGAGGTATACAGTAATTACGGACGTGCCAGCGCGAAAGGGCTGCGGTAATTGCATCGAGGGAGACTTAATAATGGCCAATTAAAAGGCGCGCTACGCAACGGCGGAAAAAATATCTCATTCTGTTTCAGGAGACTGCCTGCTCCCGCTGAAACCACCTGACCACGGATTACCTTCGCTGTGGCTGTCGTTTTTAGTTCGTTTCGCTGGGAGACAGCAACAGCGGATAACATGCAGGTGTCTGCGGTCGCCGACATTTTTCTCGCCCGTGGAAAAAAACGCGCTTTTGCGTTCGGCTGTGCACGACATTGTGCCGAAGAGCGGTGAGATTCTCCTCGCAATAGCGGAACGATACTGTCCGTAAACAGGTGAGACGGTATCCAGAAATTTATCTCGATCTTCGCGCGTTTTCTCGTTAATAAGACACTTTCCCTTATTAATAGAGAAATGCGCGGATAAAATGTTTAGTGTATCACGAAAATAAGAGTTTTTTATGATATCTCCGTATACGGAAAGTTGGTGATATGAGGTTAGGCTTTATTGAGAATCACTTAAATGTGTTTTAAGTGTTGTTACGTTTAACTTAACGATATATATGGAACAGTTAAAATATGTTAAATTTATTGAAACAAACACGTCATGCTAAAGGAGAGAGACACGAAATAAGGGCCTTTATTTTGAATTCTTTTTTTATCGCCTATGCTGTAAATTTGTCAGTTTGTGTTTTTTGAACACTGTACTGAAGTACATATTCGAGGTAGATTACACGTTTTCTGCAACAAGATGCTCGATCGACAACGAGCGACGTTATCGAGTCACGTTTTCTATTTCCATCGGCAAAGGGCAACATCTGCTTTCGCGCGGAATTTAATTCCCCCCCGTGTCCTTTCGCATGGATCAATCGACGCTGCTCGCCGACCATTCCGCGACGTGAGCCGAATTTCGGCGCCCTCGGCGACTCGCTCTATAAGTAGAGACCGCACACTTTATCCCTGCCTCGCTTCCAACGAGAGTGCACGAATTCTACGGAAGCCGCGCGACAGTCTCTCTCTTCCGCGCGACCTATAAAAAGGGACTGCGACGACTCCCTCTTCTCCACGTTTCGACGTGGAGACGAGAGAGCACGGCTAAGGACTCCGGTGGCGCGCCCGCGCGTTCTCGCCTCCTACGCGCACACACTCACCGATGATTTGTATGCGTGCGCGTATGCACGCCAATCGCGCGCACACACACACGAACAGTGCCTTCGCTCGTGGTGAATCGAGCCTAAGGGATGGCGAAGGAGGGGTGCCGCGGCCGGCCGCGGGGAGAGCTGCTGTAGTGTAGGGTCAAAAAATGCGAAGTTGCGCGCGCAGCCGCTTTGTCTCTCTCGCCACGGCGCGCGCGGTGGTGGGGGTTGCGTGCGAGTCCACGAGGGGGCACCATGGCAGGCAGCGGCGCCTGCATCCTTTCAGTCGGCCGCTGAACCCGCGCGTCGCACGGTCGGTCGGTACGTTCAGTGCTCGCGTTGTCGCGCTCGGCCGCTCGTTCGTTCGTCTCGCGCACCGTTCGCTTCTTGCCGTCGTCTCTCACCGCGGCTCACGCCGAATCCTACCGCGACGAAACCGGCTCGCGTTCAGTGAGACTCCTCGTCCTTTCCTCTGTTCTCCGGGATTGACTGACCGACCGTACGTGCGTTCCATCCGTCCTTCCGTCTGTCATCCATCCGTCAGTCTGCCCGGAGGTGTTTGATCCGAGGCGAAAGCGGCCACCACCACGGGGATCCGGCCGGACCTCGAGATACCCTTTGGATTTTCAACGGCTCCTCTACCGCGGTGGATCGTCCCAGCACGCGGCCGCAACGCCGACGCGAATCTCTCCTGCATGGTGAGTACGTGCACAATGTACCTAACTGACGCCACATTGACCGGCGTACACCACCGTGAGCGAACGCGGCTCGCCGGCTGGCGATTTTAGAGGACGATCGGAGGGACTGTTGTTGCGCGGGGATTGTTTGGCGTCCTCGTGAAGGTCGGCCAGGCCTCGCCGAGCGGTAAATCGGTGGCCAGTTTGCCGGTCGGTCGCGGGGGCGCGAGATCGGCGTTTTTCAAAATGCAAATGGCGACAATTCCCGTCGTGCACCGGTCCCTCCGATTGAGCCGTTCGAACGTTCAAACTGTGATCATGCGCTATCTCGTGCGAAAAATTGAGACGCGACAGATTTTCAAGATAGTGTTTATGCCGACACACACACACACACATACATATATATATGTGTGTGTGCATATATACCTCTGTCTATCTTGATGTATGTGCTCGCGGAAAAAAGGAAAAACAACCGCGTCCTGCCGTTGGAGCGCGTCCAAACTCTCGCGGTATCGAATGAGTTGGCGCGTTTGCACCGGTTATCTACGGTCTATCGGGTCACGACACGATTTTCAATGCCGGCTGTGCGCGGCCATTAGAATTCAAGCATCTTTCTGAAAGGAGGCAAGACAGGTTATGCTTCTCTGCTCATGCTGTCGATCCAATAATTCCGTTCGCCTCTCCGGTTACGCCACCGTTTTTCTACGCCGGAACGAATTTACGGCCAATCGCGATAAATAAGAGAGATTCGCTTATAAATAGGAACAATCGAATAATCAATCGGTCAGAACCGAGGGAAACTGCCAGTTCACGGGAATGGGCAGGCCAAGCTGTATTATTATATACATATACACACGTATATAATATTATATACATATATATACATTCGCGACTTGCACCAATGTGTCGAGGGCTGTCCATTTTACGATTTTTCGAAAATTAAATTTTGATAAAGACAGTAAATGCGCTAATAATTAGTTTTCGAATAGACGCCGGATAGTCGGCTCTTGCGAACTGCTATGAGCGAGACTGAGCGTGATATCCGCGTTGTTTTTTCGACTTCTTCGAGCAATCCCGACCGGCCAAGAGACCAACGCTCTCGGCATTTAAATCCGCATTTAGCGTGATCGGCTGTAAGAGCTGTCATCGACCGCTTTATCACGAAACGCGATTCGCCTACTTCCTCCCTCCGCGGTGATTCGCCGTCTTCGTGGCAGCGAAAGCCGTCTCCGCACAGTCTGTCTGTTGAGATCTTATCGTCACGGAATGTTTCTATCTATTTGTGCGCTACGGCTTTTTCCCGATACTACAATATCTACTCGCGTCATCATTTATCATGATTTCCGTGGTCCTTTATGTGACGTGTCCCGGCGCCGTTCGTTCGGTCAAATTAGAGGTCATTGATGTACATACACCTGTCAACCGCGCGCCGCGTAGAGATCGCAAAAAAATCCATAAATAACCCCAATAGACTCGGAAGTATATAAGCTTTATATATATCAACTTTAAGTATATTAAATCACGAAATTCAGCAATATTGAGTCTCTTTTTGACTGAGTACGTTGCAATCATATTCATCACATGGGATGACAAAACAGAAATACAAAAAATGATAAAAATATGTTCCGAGTAATATGTCATGTTAAATAGGAAAATTGGAGAAAGTTCGTGTAATAGGAAAATTTGAGTGTGACTTTTAATAAATTTGTTGCCGCATTATACGATAAAAAACATAATTGTGTGATATAAATTTAATAATTAATTCAAAGACAGTATATTTACTTTGTAAATATAACTAAAAGAATTTTAAAATTTCCGATTGTCTCACGTCGTGGTAATTATGAAAGTCTACCTGGCAAGGTATCAAACGAGAAAGAGGAATTGACATAAACACAACAGCTTCGATGCAAATGAAAATGTTTACATTCTCGGGCACTGATCCTCAGGGAAAAGATCCACATTTGAATAATCAATGTCTGTGAATAATTCACATTATATTGGGTTGCTTAGTAAGTAACTTCGGATTTCTCAAGTTAAATGAAGCTGTATTATATCTTTATGTCGTTATAACTTTGTGAAAGGAGGAAGATGCAGGAGATCATAGATCAAAATGGCGTGTACCTTACTTCGTGCAATTATAGCGATATAAAGATACGTTCGTTTAATTTTACCAGAAAAATTCGAAATTACTTATTATACAATCCTTGTACCGAGCCTGGAGTCAAAATTGTGCCGGAAAATTCTCACTTGAAATTAATGCGTGGGAGAAATATGATTTTGCCATTCTGTTGTTTGTTTCTCTTCTTCACAGAAAAAAAAGATCTACTATATATGGACAACCAAACATAAATTGATGTATTAGCCATTTTTTCTTTACTGCAAGAGTCAATTTCCTTGCTATGATAACAAGAAAAATGCTCCTGCAACCAAAAAGTAGTTAAAGCAGTAAATTATATTTAATTGTCCATCTGTAACAAATTTGCTACGTTAGCCTCTTTTCTTGCTGTAGGAGCAGATTTTCCTATTATCATAGCAAGAAAATAGGTTCCTGCAGCAAAGAAAAAATAGCTAACACAGTGAATTACATTTAACTGTCAATATGTAACAAATTAATTTGCTGCTGCAGCAAATTATTTTTTTCCGTGTCGCGAAGTTCGCAATATTGTGACCAGCTCTTTGCTTCCTTCGTTAATTGCTGAAAGGCCTCGGTGTCCTGCCGTATTCTCGCCGAGATAAAAGCGATATTGTCGGACGGACTGTGGCGACTGTAGTGAAAAGGACATCCGGCGGTTTTGGGATACCGCGTATACCATTGGCGATAAAAGCTCTCTCGCGGTGCGGCTCGCTAATGTGTACGCCGTGACGAAAGGGAACGGCCGCGCTCGCTGGCTTTTCACACGTGTGCAACGCGGGCAAAAGTGTCGCAACAAAGAAAAAGATGCTCGCTATCGTGCGAAATAAGGCTGGGCTTTTCGATTCCGGGTTAAAACCATCGCGCTCTCTCCCGCATGCGACGTGCTCGAGCTGTGCCGTGGCTCTGACATTTCCGTCGCGACGATGCATTACCACGAAAATGCTGGCGTTGCTTTCGCGAATGTCAAATGAACTTTTTAATGCTCGCTACACAAAAGATTTTGATCCTTATTCAGGGAGTCGATTGTGTACACTATTTGGCGAAAATAAGGTACGAATTTACTAGAAGATTGACAATTTCATTGGTCAACACATACTTAGTGAATTTACTCACTTTCGAAATTTTTATCACGTTGTGTCAATATACAATCAATACAAGTCTCTCTTATCGATATGAGAGTATCTCTAAGCGTGCTTACAAGCCAATCAGAAGTCTGTAAAAGTATTTCTTATAAGTCACATTTAAAGGAATTCTTATCGATTAAAAAATTCTTTTGAAGGGATGTTCAGCAGAGAAAAATGTTTTAAATCCGTGAATCTAATCAGTGTATGCTCTTAGATTCAGCTGAGATTAAGAACATACACCAGAGTCTCAAATTTTACAATAGTTATAAAACAACTTTCCCTTTATAGCTATTGAAAACCATTGTTAAGTATAATTTCGTAGGAATTCTTTATATTTATACTTGAAATATAATGTGTCGCGACTTAAATCTGACAATCCGCAATTAAATTTGACAATTTTTTAATGCTCGCTACAAAAGACTTGGTTCTTTCTGAACATTTTTGTCGATAAAGATGTTCCTAAACGTACTTATAAGTCAATCAACTTATAAGTTATATTTAAAGACGTTTTCATTGATAAAAAAGAGTTTAGAATAAAAAGAACTATTGACTTTTTTGAAGGGATGTGTTCAGCAAAGCAAGCTGCTTTGCAATTTACAAATCAATTTACAAATTTGCAAATCTGCTACAAAGAAAAAAAATTAATATTTACTTTAACCTAATATATTCAACAATTGTGTGTTTCATATATAAGTAAGAAGACAATTTTACTTAGAAGACTTTTAAAGTCTTAAATTTCAACAATGTTATAATTTTATCTGTATATCATAACAGTTATAAAAAGTGCAATATGATTATTTTGATGATAATGATATTTTCTTCCAATATTTGAAAACATTGTATTCTTAATCTAGTATTTTCTGCTTTCCATTCATGAAAATTATTTTTAAATAATGAGATCACATTCTTTTTCGGTGAATCGTATAAAATATGTTCTTACAACTTAGCTTCGTGTAACGTTAATCACATTCAAGAATTAAGATGTAAAAAATAAAGTTATTTTTCAAATAAAAAGGTTCGCTTTTTCTGCATATATGTTCTTAGATTCAAGATTAAGAGCATCAATGAGATTCGTGAATTTTACAACAATTACAAAGCAGCTTTCTCTGCTGAGCACAACTATTGAATGGTACAGCGTGATTTCGCACAAATCTCTTATATTCATAAGGAATATAATATCGGTGGAATATGTCACGACGACAAAGATTCAACGGCATAAAAAGACGCGCGAATAATCTCGACGACATCGCATGATTATTATGCAATTATTATCATTACTGCCATTATCATCGTCGTCGTCGTCGTTGTCGTCGACGATCGCGCGGCGAGATAAGCGCGTTTCCGCGTCTCGATCTCCACGAGAAAGTCATCGCGAATCGATGATCGACGATCTGCGAGCGGGCGAGCCGCCGGCGTGATGTAACGCGACATTTTCAACGGGCTTTCCCGCCTCCCCCGCGATGGCCAGTTTTCCTTCGGTCGCGGTTTACCCGAGATTTTTCCAGGCTGCGTATCGGACCGCGTGCAAACGTAGAAGCCGCGCGCGCGGTCACCCCGCTTGAATAACAACGCTAGTTGCTAGCAGCTGCGTCCTGCGCGGCTCGCCGAGAGGCCGCAGAATTGTGCGTGTCTCGCGTGATATGTAATCGTAAGTGCCACTAAGAATGGAATCAGCATTACAAGAAGTACGGCTGTAATACGGCCCGTACGGACGCTTTCTTTGCGCGGGGCTCTTCCCTCGTACCTCGTTACTTCCTGCGGAC